ATTATTGCGATTTGGACTTGTTTACATATTTTCGGGCTCCGAACTTGTTAGAAAGCAGATTTGATTGTCCGGGATTTTCCCGGGCCGGCAACAAAACGCTATTGTCACCCCGTCTATTACTGTAATGCTACTTCAACATTACGGGTGAAGAGGTTCTAAATCATGCAGAAGGTCTTCCATCAACACTCAAGCAAGTCATTTTCACTATGTTGGTCCATGCTGCGCGGCTGCCAAAGCTCACGGAGGCATGCCTACGTAGCCCGTAGATGGGTATGCTTTGGTTCAGTGGTTTGGTGCTATCAACTTGAGCAGCATAGCCAACAAGGTTCGTCTGGTTTGGGGACTAATGAAAGGGCTGGGGCGCAAAGACCCAAAGCCCTTCAACTTTTGAAGACTGCAACCCAAAGATATCACATCCTCCAATAGTGCTGCTCATCTCCGCAAGGCTTTCTCCAAATCTTTAGCGCTCAGGATCTCCCATGAACCTTCTGCAACTTCCACATATCCCTAGGGTCCCCCCATTTCTAAGAGGCACCTAAACCCTACACCCTAAACCCTAGACGCCCCCAAAACAAGGCTCATGCCGCCCTCAGAGGGAGGTCACCTCACCGCCTTCATCGGCCCAGGGACATCGGAGCAGGCTACATTCCCCAATATTCTTAAGATACAGCAATGGGAGTAGTTAATATCAGGGGGGTGGGGGTTTAATAGGTTTAATTTTGGGGGCAGGGGCCTAGAGAATTTGACGCCCTCGTGGACCAGATGTACTTGCAGTGGCATTTCCCAACAGAAAAATGAAGCAGCCAAGCTTCTAGATTGCAATGCTATGCTCAGGACTAGGCATGTCAACCCCGAAGTCAAAGAGTGCTCCCTGATGGGGCTTGGCGAGCAATGTTCTCTGAGAATTTGTTTGGCCTGTTAGGATCCACAGGCAGCTCGCTTTGCGACAGTGCGTGCCAGTAGACTTCGCAAACCTTGTTTCGCTGCAGTCCAGCTTGATCTTCACCCAAAGAACGGGTCTGAGAGCAAGGCCAATAAGTATCATTCTCAAAAGGAATGCCCACAGAGATCCTCACATCCCCAAATCTCTTAGTCCTTGAGCACAGTGGCACCTTTTGCAGTACTTACTCAGCAATCCTTCTAAGAGAAGCTGCAGTGGAAGGTCCAGCAGGCCAAAGAAGAGCTGCTACGTCGGCTGCGGCGTGCGGAGTCCGGGGAAGCGGGGACCTTGGCGGAAATCGAAGCGACAGGACGATGTATACAAAGCTAGCCAAAGGCCCTGAACCACAGACCTGCAAAGAAGCTTAGTGCATCCTGGCCTGGCCTGAAGAGCCGAAGCTGCGCCTGTGACCAAAATCTGGAAACAGCTGGCCACACTAGGGCCGCATCCAAAACGTCTGAGAGCGAGGGCGCAGTAGCAGGCATGGTGTACGGGACAAGTTGGAAACGGGCAGATGGTACGTGAAACGTTCCATGATGTGAAGCCACAAGCTGAAGAGAATGCCTAATCATATGTGCCACAGCCCTTCAAAATTGAGTCAACAGTTGGATTCCCATGGGTGTCAGAACTAAAAGCAAGTGCAAGGGTTGAGGGAGGGGTTTCGGAACCTTGTGCCAGTAAACACAAGTTACCGGATTGCAGAGAGGATCTTTACCTCACAGTTGCTTCGGTGGCCCCAGCCATTCAGTACTTCTATCCAACCTCATGCCCAGGCAACCGTTCCAGATGTGACTCCGAGGCTGCCAAGTCATTAATTCTGCCCGATGCGTTTTCGTTGTGAGTGGCTTTTGCAAGGTCCCTGGAATTCTGCCTGCAAAATGTTCAAGTCGGGAGGCCAAAGCTTGCGGATGAGTTCGCTGCGCTGATGGAAGATGTAGGTGGCGGCAAATGAGGAGTTAACAGCATCATGATGAGTGCCTTGTAGACTTCCAGTCTTTTCAACTTCTGGACATCCGTTATGGACAAAGAAAATCTAGACGCGGGTAAAACAGCTCCCAGCTTGCGCGTTTATTGAAACTGCATGTCTCTAGGCAGGCTTCATTAACGCAACACATTGCACAAGCACCACGGGTTCCATGGGATTTTGAGAAGCTGCAGAATTGGTGCCGCACTGTATGCTTCCTTGGGATGAAAGATGTTCAGCACATAAGCGCACAGATGTGGTGGCGACCTTTTCCATGGCCTGATCAAGAACTTCTCCAGGCTCAATTAGGGTTGCACATGTATTTGAGTTCCCGCAGGGCAAATTCGCAGGGAGGAGCAGAGGAAAGCTAACAAAAACAAGGTGTCCAGTGGAAAGTTTTTCTTATGAACGTAGTTCTGCAACGGTTAAGTTATGTGGAGCTAGAACCCGGCTTTATGGAGCGCATCGGGTCTAAGGCGCTAGCTTGCAATTGATGTCGCCGAGCCACCTGAAACATGCAGGCTTCGCATCATCTCACATTTTTTTCCGAGGCCTGCATCTCGTGTGTGGATCATGATGGCTCAACTCAGGCATCAGCTTACCTGACGTCTTGGGCGTTCACCGCACGGGGCAGGTTCGGAATGGATGAATTTTGGTGTGCTTACATAACGTTCCGCAGGCGTCATTCCTCCCAACAGTCCTAGCGCCCAAGCCCTCTAGCTTAACGAACCCACAAGGCTATCAGCGCACACGTACCCTTACTTAGGAAATTATGAAACCTAACTTGGAGCTGAGCATGGTAAATCCTGAGTCCATAGCCCTTCAAAAGCGCTGCAGACAGCATACCTAAAATGGCCAACTTCACAAGGAACTCCTTTTCTTTATAGAATAGCCTAAGCTCTACACCCCGAACCCCCAAACCCCTTTGAGCTCAAGACTTATAGTAGTGTCCAGCTTCTTTTCCATTATCCTTCCACAACCCCTATATGACCCCTATAGAGTAGTTTCCAGTTTTCCATCATCCCTACATAACCCCAATACACCACATAGTATAGAGGGCCCATGCCCCGGCCATGGTTCTGCCTGGCTCCGCTGGTGGCTGCCATGGAGCTCGCCCCCCAGCATAGCTATATACGGGGGTTTCCCATAATTACGGGTACCATTTTGGGGGCCCCAAGAATAAGGACAATATAGTATGTTAGGGGTCTATATTGGGGTCCCCCTATTTGGGGAAATTACCACACAGTTCTAGGTTTGGGTGTGCTGCGCGGGGTCAGGGCTGAAGGATTTCATGGTTGAGGGTGTGGAGTGGAGGCTTCAGTGTCAGATTTGCTGAATGTCAGTTCACAAGATGCTTATTCATGGCTACTGGCACATAATAGGCGTGCAGGCATGGCCCTTGAGGCTATGAAGTCCAAGAAACTGGACCACAATCTTGTTGATTGATTTCATGCCTAGCATTGAAGAAAATATGGGGCTTTGGTTGGCCATGGGCCACTGGGTGCTGCCTAAGCGGACCATGTCAGAAAATGTATGGCGGAGGGTGTGAGGGGAGAGTAGGTTTACTCGAGAAGCCTAACATGCCTTGTTTAATGGTTTTTCCCGTCCTGAGGCGCACCGCTGTCCCGCAACTTCCCAACCCACCGGGCCCAATTTGCAGTGGGACCGAGATTTTGTGGTTGTCGTGCATGTGCAAAGGTGTCTAGAAAGGACGTAGTGACATGAGACGTTACATAAGTGGCAGTCGCTTTGTAGCGGGCCAGAGACGCAGGTCCTCCACTTCTTATACGCCCTGTAGAACTCCCCTGAGTTTGCAGGCGGTTCGAGCTCAACCCAAACAACACAATTTGGAGTCGCACGGCATCCCTCAGCGTCTTTCCGCAGGCAGTTCCAAACGTTTGCCATACCAGCCATGAAATTTCGAACAATAGTGATTAACAATAATTAAAGCAGTGATCATGGAAATAATAATAGTAGTAGTAGTAGTAGCAGCAGCAGCAGTAAGAATACCCGGAGAAGAAATGTGCAATGGTAGACTTGAGCCTGGTCGTCTTGGGAGCCGTGATTCATCACCGACATAGTGAGCTCTTGCCTGAATTATTCTCAAATTCACAGTAGAAGTAACACAGGAAAACGTCTTTGAATAACTAATTGTACCCGCACCGTGGTTGAAGCAGAGTTTGGTGACAACCACCTTTCCTAGGATATGCTATTCCTCTAGAAGTTTAGAAGGCCATATTCACGGCCATAAATGGGAATTTCTTTTTGGTGCTTTCCTGGAATACTGCCCAGAATTCCATACAGAATGCTGAAGCATAATCTCCCCAAAACCCTACATAATCCCTGTTCCCAGCGCCCCTGCACTGAGAAACCCGCTAGGGGGAAACTTTCCGGCAGCAGGTTCCGGAGCGACCAGTTCGGAAGTCAGCGTGGTCCTTCTCTGTGAGCAGTTGGTTCCAGGCCGACTCATCATGAGTGGGCTCTTGTGCTTGTGAATGTCATTCTTGCGCTGCTTGTTGCATTTGTTGAGTGCTAATTACTGTTGCTTTTGATGGCACGCTCAGCTTTGCAGTGGCTACTCTTGTTATCACGCTGTCAGTCACTTTGCTTGCTTCAGTTCGATAGTCTTGTCATGGAAGCTGGAAATCCCAGAGTTCGTCTGCGTGGACGGCGGAAGCATTCTCACAAAACAATATTGATTGGCTTTACCATCGCTGGCTTGCCGTTTTTACTTTGGGGATGCTTTGATGCTTCGATGAAAAATGCAGTTAAAAGGTAATGCACACAGTAATAAGCCCCGGCCACCCGCCGACCCCGCCGCCGACCCACCCTAACAACAAATACCCCGAATATAGTCCGAATATGCATTATAGGGTTATATTCATAATAAGGGGTTGGTAGCTCTCAGTGAGACCATACTAGTATTGGGGAGATGTAGAATCCCTGTATCTAGTGCTTTCCATCCCATTGCCTTTTCTTTTCCTTTTTATTCTCCATTGTTAGAGGGATTATGGTGGCGGCTATCAGTTGATGACAGGACGAGGGCAAGATCAATGCCAAGGACCCGTTCACGTCAATGCCCGTGCAGGCCTTTGCGTTGTTGGCAACAATACATACTCAGCTAACCTTTTTGCATTTGCATCCCGGCTCCTCACAAGCTCCTTTCTCAGATGGGCAGAGCTTTCGCGGTGGAATGGGCCCTCACGCCAGGTGGTAACCTTCGCAGATCACCTCGGCCTCTTTGGGCACTTAGCCCCTTGGCCTGTAGCTTAAACGATGTCGAAATTGGTAGCTTTCATAGCTCGCGTCATCATAATTCTTGCTGTCCGCTGCATTTCTGGCATCTTACCAGATCCTGAGACTATTCCTACTTCTGCCGCTGTTCCAATGCTACAAGGCAGGAGCTTCACGCCAACAACCGACTTTCCTTATCCAGCAAGACTCCATCTTTCAAGCTGGCCGAGCTTGGGAAATGGTCCAGCCAAGAGGCTTAGGTCATTCACAACTTCGATGCTTGGACCCTCACCGCGTGAATCCTCGCGGGCCCTAGATTGAAGAGGCTCCTACGAAAGTTCGTGGCTCCGCTCCTGGAGTGGGGGGCTGAAGGAGGAAATGAAGCATAAACAAAGATCACAAGATGGCATCATCATTGTCGGAGCCGTCATCATGACCATCATCATCACTACCATGGCGTTGGCAGTTAGAATGATGCTAATACTCATGGCAGCATGATCAATAACAATCGGACATTTCTGAAATCCATAGTCTCTTGAGGAGGCCTGGGGCCCTGCAGGTATGTGAGCTCGCAAGAACTGTAGAGTTCGAGCCTCGGCTGCAGCGAACGGGGGGGGGTACTTCCAAGTGATGATCTGGCCATTTTCCGAGGTGCGGTCCGTGTGTAGAGCAGCAAAAATTACATCATCCATGGATTGCTCTGCGAGGGTCTAAAGTACAACCCAGTAGTCCTTTGGTTGCTCTAGAATCCCAAAAGCCGGCACACTCTCAGAGCCCTACCCCTGGTTCCAGGTTTGGAAAGAGGGCAGCGCACCTTTTCTTCAGGTTCTTACATTGCTTTGGAGTCCTGACGTGAGAGGGTCCAAAGGGAGCGGGTCCTGCATAGGTTTCGTGCTGTTTCCCAAAGTTTCCCTTTCGAGCTTTGGAAATTCCCTTGCTCCTCAGAATTGTGTTTCTCAATCCCTGGGTTTCTCCTTCAGCAGCCCCAAAGGGCCCTCATCAACGTGCCGCCTAATTTCGAAAACTCTTTGAGTAGCTCCCCCTGGCTGCAACCAGACACCCAGCTGATGGTCACGCCCAG